TCCAGCTACTGGTGGAGGCTGAGCAGGAGAATGGCGTGAACCCAGGAGGCGGGGCTATTGCAGTGAGCGAGATCTGGCCACTGCACTCCAGCTGGGCGACAGGGCAGGACTCGTCTCAAAAAAAAAAGGAAAAGTAAAATTTAATTCTGCTTTCAACATTAACTGCCACATCAAGTTCTAAGTGCAGTGTTGTTGTCACAGAGGGTAAACTCAGACATTTAAAAAAGAAAAAAAGAAAAAAAAAAAACCACTAGGTTTTCAGATCCCCAACATAATTTGCTGTACTAGTCTTTCTAGTTTCTCCTCTTGATTCTAATTTGCACACTGAACTGTCATACCAATTCTCTATAAAAAATCCCATAGAAATATCTTCAGAGAGACTACCATGGATCACCAAAGTAGTAAGTTCACATCAAAACTCAAACAAAATCTTAATTCAATGAGCCACTGGGCTTTGAAGAATGTCTAAATTTCTGTAGTTGTAATTTCCAATTGTGTTTTTCTGTTTTATTTTCTTTTGGTTTCCAGTCCTTTGGTGGGAAGACATCTTCATTATGTAATCAACACTTTGCTACTGCACTGAGGTGGCAGGCTGCACAGACTGAAATAATAGTACCAAACAGAGCTATGAACTTTCCCCATGCATCTTAATGGGGCGTTAACTTTAGAGCCTGGTTGTGATAATTTAAATGCTAATACCGTTAAAGCAAATAGTCCAGAACAAAAACACACCCAGCTTGAGTCAGTAAAATTTAACTAAAGCTTTATTTGATTTGGGTAGGCTACTACAGAAATTATGCTCTTTCTCCATTATTCTGTTGAATTTTAAAATAAAACCCCTGTAGCGCTCCTCTTAAAGACTGACATTAATAGAGGAAGGAAAAGAATGGAAAGAAGTGATTTGCTCCACTGGGAAGTATATATGTCAGAATTGTAAAGTATAGAGGTCAAGGACAGTGTGTGAGTGGGCATAAATCATACAACATAAGATACAATTAACAAACATGGCCCATTTAAAACATCCATGCCCCAACACACAAACTGTAGTTTCTAAATATAATTTTCCACTAAAAGGAACTAAGACTCCTTAGAGAAATGGCTGATTCCAGTTCTGGGATAGGAAATGAACAGGACAAGCTTAGAACCAAAAACAAGATGTTTTCTACTATAACACTACTATGGTGTGTCAAAAGGACTCAAAATATAGCCTGAATAAGCTCCCACTGGCTAAAGCCTGCACAGTTTGAACAAGAATAAGGATAATAACCACAATGGATTAAAATACATCAAATAAGTTTAAATCTACGAGTTCATAATAAAACCAAAAAACAAAAACATTTTTCATTGGTCATCTTTGAAGGATACTAGGAAACTACTTCATTATTTTGAAAACTGTTAAATAAAATTAAAGAATTAACTTTTATCCTACCATTTCTATATTATTTAGACCTGAGTTCAGCCAAACAGATGGGAGGATATAAAGCATTCCAATAACAAATGATATAATTAGAATGTGACCATCATAAAATAACCACAAATGAATTAACAGATGTGGGCAATGGCCAAGTAACTGAAAACATCCCAAAAAAAGACTATTACTATTATGTAAAGTGGTGTGTGTGTACAAATCTGCTCATTTAGAACTGCCCTCACAAGGCCATAATAAAAAGCTGACTAGTTTATACTGGATTGTTTTGTTTTGTTGTTTCAAAATCTTCCACAGACAACATACTCATTTACTGCTTGTACTCTGGGCAGAGGCTCCCACTGCTCCCCACCTCCCAACTCTGATGTACCACTGATTATACAACTTTTGTTAGAAGTATTCAAAACCAACTGTAAAGTAGTTTCAGGGTCTACTACCTGACCCTGGGTGGGTGGTGAGTAATCAACCTTTAATCCATTTACAATTTGTGAAAAGTAAAAAAGATAAGCTGGGTACGGCAACATGCGCCTGTAGTTACAGCTATTCAGGAGGCTGAGGCAGGAGGACTGCTTGAGCCCAGGAGTTCAAGGATATAGCGTGTTATGATCATGCTTATGAACAGCCACTGGACTCGAGAATGGGCAACATAGAAAGACTCTGTCTCAAACAATAAAAAGATAAAAAATCGGCCAGGCGCGGTGGCTCACGCCTGTAATCCCAGCACTTTGGGAGGCCGAAGCAGGCAGATCACGAGGTCAGGAGATCAAGACCATCCTGGTGAATACGGTGAAACCCCGTCTCTACTAAAAATACAAAAAAATTAGCCAGGTGTCGTGGCAGGCGCCTGTAGTCCCAACTTCTAGGGAGGCTGAGGCAGGAGAATGGCGTGAACCCGGGAGGTGGTGGAGCTTGCAGTGAGCGGAGATCCCGCCACTGCACTCCAGCCTGGGCAACAGAGCAAGACCCTATCTCTGAAAAAAAAAAAAAAAAAAAAAAAAAGTTAAAAAAATCATGCTAAAATATATATGTATCATCACAAGGATACAATCTGCGAAATCCAGACTACAAAAGGCTGGATAGGACAAGTGAAATAGTTTCTTCTAAGGAAATTATAAGGAAACAAAATAAATCAAAATTAGGTAACACAGAAGGGGAATGTAAAATTAAAAGATTTGATGTAATCAATTGCAATCTATGAACCTTACTTGGATATCTTATTTCCAAATAAGATATCAATTCAAAGTTTAAACAAAAAAAAGAAGAAATCTGTTTTTTAAAAAAAGTGTCTCTGACATTAAGAAATATTCAACAGATTCCCCAGAAATCTGGCCAAAAGTTTATCACCATAAGAGCTCTAAAAAGCCAGTGTACAGAGAAAACAAAGTACAAGTCAACAATACGTAAGTTACAGACAAGAGAAAAAGTTAACAGAACCTTACCCACAGCTCCAAACATCTATGGCTGGTGTGTAACGTTCTTCTCCTAGCAGTAGTTCTGGAGGTCGGTACCATAGAGTAATGACTTTGTTTGTGTAAGGGCGACTGAAATATAAAAAACAACCATGACATAAACTTACAATGGCTTCTGATGAAAAATATTCATATAACTAAATACAAATAGAAATAGGTGCCAAATGAAGATGAGACTGAAAAACAAATCCATAGCAACCTAACACTCCAAAATTAAACTGGTCAGAAGTGGGAGATGAAGAAGTAACTTCCAGGCTGGGTGTGGTGGCTCACACCTGTTTTTTGTGGAGACAGAGGGTCTTCACTTCTATCACCAGGCTTTGGAGTGCAGGGTGCCAACTGTGGCTCACGCAGCCCTTGATGATCTCCGGGTTCAAGTGATTCTCTAGCTCAGCCTTCCCCGAGATAGCTGGAGCTACAGGCATGCCACCAAGCATTGCCTCAGCCAATTGGATTTGTTATTTGTTTTGTGAGAGACAGAGTTCCCTGTGTTGCCCGGACTGCGTTCTTAAATTCCTGTGCCTCAAGTGATCCTTCCCTCCTCAGCGCCTCCCAAAAAGGGCTGGAAGTATCAGGCATGGGGCAGACCTGATGACTGGCCTCTGCTCAGTGTTCTATCCGTTGACAGTGATATAAAGGAATTTTTTTTTTTTTTTTTAAGTTCCAGTCGCGCGTACATGTGCCAGGTGCTGTACACAGGTAAAATGTGGTTCCAGATGGTGTGGGTTTGCCTGCACCTCTATGCCCATCACCAAGAGTATTTAAGCCCAGCAAGCATTTAGCTATTGTTTTCCTGATGCTCCGTCTCTCTGCCTGCATGAAGGAACTAATTTTGAAAAACTTGCCGAGGCAAAATGTTGGGAAGTCTAGTAAAACATCGTGAGTTCATTGGAGGGGGTGGAGCAATTGCAAAAGAAACCCAAGCAACCTATTTATTGGACTACTTTTGGATTAATGAGCTAATTGATCTTAAATCATGTAACCTCCTAGTGCATATTGTACAGCCTCTCGCACTCTGTAGGGCGATGAAAGCCAAGGTCACTGTCTTACAGGAAGCCGTGGTGTGTAGGTGGTCACTAATAGCTCAGCAGTGCCAAAAAAATGAGTATACAGATGCGCCTCGCAAATCCGAAAAACTCTTGAAATCCCAAAATTTTCAGAAAACCCTTTCGCCGCCCCATCTCTGGTCTGAAGCAAAATCTGAGAACTTTGTTGAGTGCCAACATGATACTCAAAGGTATACCTCACTGGAACATTTCAGATTTTGGGGAGTGTTCAGAACCAGTAACAATATGAATGTAAAATTGTTCAAGAATCTAAAAAAAATCTGAAGTCGCAAAAGAATTCTTGCCCTCAAGCACAGCGGGCGGTACGTCATATCGTAGTACAGAAAAAAGGCCAAGAGGTGCTCCCCAAAATATGAACATTGGCGACGAATATTAAAAACGAAGGTAATACCAGCCAGACACAGAACTCACACTAATCAATGCTTATTCCTAGTCAAGTTGAAAGGTTACCTTATCATTTGCCTCCAAACACCATTACATTGAAGTTCATTTTCTAATAAGCAAATGTGTGAGGAAAAGCGAAAGAAAATGAGTTAACTGTATAGTGAGACGAAAGATGATTTGCTCAAATGTTACTTGGGATCCTTACTCTCTGAGCAAGCCTGAGACGATTCAAGATCAAAGGACAAGTATGACTGAAAGATGTAAAATGGAAATGGGATATATAGAATTGTACAGGAAATCAAGGGGTAGACGAATATACCAGCATCTAACATATTGTCCTGGCGCTGGTCTATACTAGGCTGTATTTTTTTTTAATTAATGTATTTAATGTGTTTTTTTCTGTGTTTTTTTTTGTTTGTTTTTTTTTTTTCCAGGGAAGTGTTTTTTTGTTTGTTGTGTTTTTTTTGGTTTTTATTAAATGGAATTTAGTGCTGCTATATTGTTTAATCTTCTGTTTGATTGAGCTACTCTTAAAAAAAAAAATATAAAAATATATATGTTTCTGTATGTTCTATCTTGTTGCTCTCAGTTCTGGAGTGCCCATTGTGTTCTGCTGTTTTTTTTTTACTTTCTCGGCCTCACTTGCAACCTCTGGTTCCTCTCTCTCCTCTTTTTTTTTCGTGATTGTTTTAATGGGCTTTGGGTTTTGTTCTTTGTTTGCAGGGCGCTCCGGTTCGAGCTTGGGGGATGTAGTACGCGTGCATGCCGAACAGCTGCCTCATGGGGCTGGACCGATTTTGGTAGTTTTTTCAGTAGAGATGGGTGTTTCGTCCGCGATTGCTGTGGTCGCAGGCTCGTCGTGTGAACTGCGCGCTCGCCCCGGCTACCTGTCAGGGGTCGATCCAACGCCT